AAAAAAAAAAAAAAAAAGCAGTAGGGAGAAAAATATCTCCGTTCTACCTCTGTATCCCAGCTAACTAGTTTCCCTTCTTAGTGGCAAACAATGTTATTAGGGTCTTTTGGTACATTTTCCAGAGCTAGCTTAACCCATATTTGAGCAACATATATAATTCCTCCCTTTTACACATTGAATACACATCACCAGGCACTTTGCTTTTTTTCCCTAGATGACGGATTATCGTTGGAGATCATTGCATGCCTCAGTACATAAAGCATTTCCTCATTCTGTTACAGCTGTCTGGATGGGCATTGCACAGATGGCCCACAGTGTATTTAGCCAGCCCTTTACTGACGGTTGTTTAGGTTGTGTCCAGGCTTTTTGAGTATCAGTTTGCTCATTTGTAAAATGGGTACAAATAATCCTACTTTGTAGGACAGTCGTGAAGGATTCAAGAGTATGTTTGCAGGGTCAAGTGCTCAAAACATGGCAGTCAGCATTATTGCTCCTTCCATGTCACAGCCCTCCATGGGACCATGCCTGGTCCATTCTTTAAGACCCCTCCTAAATGTCATCTCCTCCACAAAGCTTTCCATGTTTTTCCCAGCAGAACAGTCTCCCTTCCTGCTCCCCTTTCTGACTGTAGTACTCACCACTTTCTACAGTGAGTTTGTGCCAGGCCGAGAGCTGCCTGGGGACAAGTCGTGCACCCTACCCGCCTCTGTGCCCCCCAGACCACGTGGCATAGTGGTGCTGGCACTGGGCACTGGGAGGACTCCTGCCTGGAGTCAAGCAGGGTGTGTGCTTCTCTCTGCAGGATGTGTGAGAGGGCCACACAGAACTGGAGCACGGGCGGCTGGCTGCTGGCACTTGGCCTGGTCTGGCTGTGGACCCACCTGGCCTCGGCTTCCTTGCAGCCTCCAACTCCAACAGGTCTAGGGGAGGTGGTGGGGCCCTGGGGCGGGCGGTTTTCCAGGATGCCTGGAAAGCTGGACACCACTGCACCCCGTTCCACAGCAGGCAGATCTCTGAGGCAGAGTAAAACCCACAGATTCGAGGGCAGACCCATTCTCACCTTCCCTTCCATGCCGGAAGGTGTTCTGCAGGGAGAGGAGCCCCTGGGTCAGGGCTTAAGTCTAGCCTCCTGGCCTAATTCTGTGGTTTTCCTTCTGGGATGGCTAAAGCCGGTGTAAGCGGATGATCCTCGCCACGCATTGTAAGCCCTCGGGGCCCTTGGCCTCACCCAGGGGAAGCCAGGAGATGGGGGATGGTGTGGACTCCATCTTTCTCCTGCCCAGGGGCCAGACTCTGCCAGGGTGATGAGTGTGGCCTCACTGGGGAGGAAGGAAGGATAGGAACACAGATGTGGCAGGAAGATGCCATCCATTTCCTCCTCCCCTGCAATTGGAAATCTCTTACCTACCCCTGGCCTGAGCTGGGAGGAGGGGCTGAAGGACAACTAGGGTGGGTGGGAGGGGGGCAGGGGTGCTGGCCTGGGCCGGGCATCTAATGGTGTGCTGGCCCTTTCAGTCCCCGTGAAGCAGGGCACCTGCGAGGTGATTGCTGCTCACCGCTGCTGTAACCGGAACCGCATCGAGGAGCACTCCCAGACTGTCAAATGCTCTTGCTTCTCTGGCCAGGTGGCCGGCACCACCCGGGCAAAGCCCTCCTGCGTGGACGGTGAGTGAGAGGCTGGGACCCGGCAGGGAGGGCTTGGTCAGAGAGATAAGAAGGGCTGTCCAGGCTTCGCCATCTGTTGGGGATACAATTTCATGCCCAGCTCAGGGCTTTCACTGTCAGAGTCTCAAATGATGGGGCCACCTCTGGGAGGAGGGGCACAGATGTGACCATCGCCATCCCATAGATGAGGAAAGCTCTGTCATAAGCACACGCCCTCCCTCCTGGCCACACCTACTGCCTGGCACATACGCGGATTCATTTTCTCACACGATCTTCTCAGGCCTCCCATCATCCTCATCACTTCACAGCCACTCCTCCAGACGTTGACTTCTTCACCTGCGGCTCCTTCCCAGGCCTCTTACACATCCCCTCCTCTCGTTCTCAAGCCGGCCTTTACCCTCCCCTCACATGGACACACGTGTATTGCTTGGCCATGAATTCCTTCGTATCCACCCCTTTCCCATGGCCCCACCCATGCTTATTTTCTTACTCTCACATGGCAGCGCCATAAACGTGCCCACTTGTGCTCACACGCACACACCTGCTTGTGCGCACTCCCTCAAATGGCCTGCACGCTTGCTCACGTACACCAAGGGGTATGTTGAAGACTGTGCCTCTCTGCTAATGATGTGGTGGCTCAACTCAAGGGTTGCCTTAGAGACAACTTCCCCTGCCTTCACCCCTCTCTGTCTTTGGTGAGATGTAGGGGTCAGTGGGGTTGAGGTTGGTATGGTTGTGTCCCAAGGCCTCAGCCTGAATACTGCCCTTCCAGGCAGCCTGGAGTAGGAAAAAGACAAAGAAAATGCAGAGCTCTAAGCCAGGGTGTGTAAAAACATGCCCTTATTCTGCACGAACCACTCCCACGCCCACAACTGCATGCTGTACTTGCAGAGAACTTAGAGCTGCCCTCACTGCTTCCTGCTCCCACAGCCTCCATCGTCCTGCAGAAGTGGTGGTGTCAGATGGAGCCCTGCCTGCTTGGCGAGGAGTGTAAAGTGCTCCCGGACCTGTCGGGATGGAGCTGCAGCACCGGACACAAAGTCAAAACCACCAAGGTATCCAGAGATAGACACTTCATCGCAGCCCTACTCTTCCCCCTTCGCTGGGGGCGGAAAAGGGGACACAGGAACCCTGGGCTCTAGGATGCCGGTTTCCCAGGCTGAGATCTGCAAGCCATGTGGGCTCATCCCTGGACAGTCTCCCCTGGGTTTGTCTAGACTCTGGGGACTGAAATCCAAGGTGTTCTTCTGGGCATATTCCTGATGCTCCTGTGGCCTTAGTTTCCTTCTCTGCCAAGAATGAGTTTGCCTTCCAGAACATATCAGGTCCATAGAACAAAGTAGAGAATTGAGGGAATTATCTAGATAATTGAGAGGGGAATCTCTGCAATTGCCATTCTGCCCTCCCACCCCTGCTGCAGGCCCACCCCCACATTCCCACGATTCACTCCCTGTAGCTCACACCTGCCTTTCTCTGGTTGAACTGCTGTGCTGACACCAGCCGAGAGGATTATTATTTCCATGGTTTGCTGCCTGCCCCACAGAACAAGGGATAATCAAAATTTTATCGAACTCGTTAGCAGTTCCATGTGTGTCACGGTTAATCCGTTGTATTGCTCTGTCATGGCCGTTTGTACAGATGGGTGACACTGTGGGGCAAGTCAGAACTCTGCCTCCTGCCTTCCCTCCCCACCATCACACCCAGCAAACAAGCAAGCAAAGAAAACAATACAGAAGGAAAGGCGGGCTCCAGACTTCTAAAGAGAACATTTTCATAGGGCACAGAACAGGAGCTACAGCAAGAAAAAGTGTGGCTGGATCTAAAGTAGAGCTTCCTATCTGCAGGCAGGCAAGGGACACAGCCATTCTGAGTATATTTAAGACTAGAAGAGACCCACCCCAGAGCTTCTGACATTTGTCACTATTGTATGGGTCTGGATTTGTAGGCTGTAGATCACTGTGCTTGCAATTTGGTAGCTACTCTGAAGCAACCAGCAGTGATGCAAGGCTGATTTATGTTTGCATGGGCCACCCAGCCACACTTTCCCAGTCTGGACTGCTTTAGGGGAAAGTGACCTGCATATCCTGGGGAATCTCGGGCACACTGGCATGGGACAGGCATTCCCTTCTCTAACCTTCCCGCATCACTTGCTCTCTAGGTCACACGATAGCTCTTGGGGGTCATGACCTGACAGCTTGATTGAGCCACCCACTGGAGAATGGTGTCCAGTTATCAGCTGGAAAATATGGAGATTCACTTCCCTGGACCCACACCCTGTGCAAAGTGCAGCAGCACTCTTTCCAGAGGTATTGCAGTTAAGCTTCTCAGCAGATACGTCCTCATATCTCCAGGCCAATCTCCAGCCACATACCTGTGGTGCTGAGTTCTCCCTGGGGGACACAGAAGAAGGTCAAGATAGAATCCCTACCCTTAAGGAAAGTTCAGTCAAGTTGAAGAGCTGACAAAAGGCAATCAAGGTAACTTAGATTAAAGTGTGTGGTATCAGACTGGTTTCTGGCCCATATGCTGTGAGCATGTTGGGGACCATTCACCCCACTTCAGTTGAGGAGACTCCCACAGCCCTTCAGCCACCCTCTGGCCACAGGGCACAAAGACATAGGTCATATTCACCACCCACTACTTCGGTGGGACCTCACATCATAGGTCATATTCACCACCCACTACTTCAGTGGGACCTCACAACGGTCCGAATCCCCGGCAAGCTGCTGACCTACTGAAGGAAAACACTCTCCCCTGATGCCAGACCGGCTGTATCTCATTTGGATGGGGCTGAATTGACTTGGGGAAGGAAAGCAGAGATGAAGCCAAACAACTTTACAGAAAAGCTTCTGCAGAGGCCTTGCCTGCTTCGGACACACTGGGTATGGGCTGGACAGGACTGTAAAATCACCCCTACCCAAGCACCCAGGTTTTTGTTTGTTTGCTTCTTTTAACAGATGAGGAAACTGAATCCCAGAGAAATGAGGTGACTTGCCCAAGGTGTCACAGCTTGGGCTCCCAAATCTCTAAGACGGCTGACCTTTCACTTAGCCTGGATGTTGGGATTCCAGCCTGGGCTTTCCATGCTGTTTTTATCTCAAGAACAGGAACCTGCAAAGAACTGGCTGGACAGCTCAATGATTTTGAGCAAGAACTTTTACAAAGTTCACTCCTATCTGAAATAATCCAGAATACCTACCCACAAGGATGCAGGCCCACTGGGTCTCCACTCTGCCCTCAGCCCCAAAACTTCCAAACAGAACCCATGACAGCCCAGAGGTCACTCAGCCCAGTTACAGCTGGGCACTCTGAGCTGGAAGCCTTGTCCACTCTAACCCGTCTTTTCCAGAGTCCTTAGGCTGTGCCTCTCAGTGGCTCTGGCTCCAACAGAGGGTCTGGGTGGCGTCCAGGGCTAGTCAGAGTCCTCTTCCTTCAAAGGCCCTGCTAGGCAGCAGGGGAGCCCCTGCGCTGGATGGAGCCCCTGTCCAGGACTGAAGGTCAGCCAGTCAGGCTGCACCCTAGGTGGTCTGCGGATGACACACAGGCCTCGGGGACTCAGAGACGCGAATTACTTGGATGTCTCATCAATAAGAGAATTACAGCCTCAGTGACTGCTGGCATCAGCTGGGATCAGGTAGGATCAGCTGGGATCGCCAGGACTGCAGGGTGTGATGGGGCCTTGAGGGGAGGGGCGTCAGTAGAGACCAACTGGGACAATGCTGAATTCTGACTCTCAGAGAAGATAGATCAGATGACGGGTTGAGGCTGAGAGTCTCAGTCCCTCCCTGCTTCTCTCCCTCCCTTCCCATGCAGTAGAATCAAGACCGTTGACCCCACTCCAGGGTTGATCTTTTTTTTTTTGAGGTGCTCTTTTTTTTTTTTTTTAACATCTTTATTGGAGTATAATTGCTTTACAATTGTGTGTTAGTTTCTGCTTTATAACAAAGTGAATCAGTTATACATATACATTTATCTTCTTGTTTGCCTTTTTGTTGTTTTTGGTAATGGGGTGAACAATGATGCCAGCCTCTCACTAGGCTGTAGATGTCAGAACTCTGACAACTTCGAATCTCTGCATATAGTGGGGTCACAGGGTGAGGTAGTCAAGGAGTAGGTCAAAGGTCATCACCTCCTTCAAGGTTGGGGAGTGGATTAAGGTATTGGCACTCTTTCTGGAAAGGATAGTAAATATTTGCAGGCCACATACAGTCTCTGGCATATTCTTTGTTTTTGTTGTTGTTTATTTTGTTTCATGTTGTTTTAAAAAACCTTTTAAAATGTAAAAACCATTCTTAGCTCAAGGGCTGTACAAAACCAGGCCCCAGGCAATTTTTGGAAGGTTGCCAACCCCAATAAACCTTTGAAGGCAGGCCATCTCTGCAGCTTGGGTCTGCCTCCTGGCCTGCCTTTGGTGCAGTGGGAACCTGAGCATGAGGGGTGGGTCGGGTTTTGTTTTTCTTCTAATGTTCCTTGAGAGACTTGGTGAGTGAATTATTTAGGCTACAAATGAGACAGCTTTAGCAGAGTCGGACAATAAGAGCCTGCTCTCCTTGAAGCCAGGATGCAGGCTTCTCTACTCCCTCCCCATCCCTCAAGACTGTGTCCAGGAGGGAGGGAGGGAGAGGGCTCCAGCCGCCTGCGCATCTGCTGCATCCATAGCCAGTGGACTGTGAGCTGGGGGATGGTGCTGTACAAACTCCCCCCAAGCTGCCAACCACCGCCCGCCCCTGCCCCAGCCAGGCTCCTTGATCCCTGACTTCCCTCATCCCTGCTTCAGAGAAGACCTCCTTCCTTTGGCACATGCTGGAATTTGCTAATTCATTTTTTTAACCCCTCAAAGCCTCCATTTCCTCCTGACCTAATCATATATTTATTTGGTGGGCTTTGAGGGGTATTCTTTATATGGCCAGGAGAGCCCCACACAAGAGGATCTGATGGAGAAGGGAAAGCTTCTCACCTCCCAACAGAAGTTCCCTCAGGTCCTGCTTCCAACTAAGTCAACATTTGTACACATTTTGTAGCTGCTTCAATGGCAGTATAGGAATGCAAATTAATTTTCCTGGAGCATAGGGCTCCTGGATCATTTGTGTTCCTTTTCTCCCCTTAGTGGGATGGGCTCTCAGATTTCCTGAGGTTAGCTGGTAACCCTACCCACCCAGCTTTGGAAGGTTGCCAACTACAGAAGATCATGTGGCTACTTTCTGTGGCCTCCTGGCAGTTTCATTAAGGTCTGTGAGTGACATCCTAATTAATGGCTCCAGACAGTTGGCTAGAGTTGAAGCCGCAGCTTCCTAAAATCACAAGCTTAGAGCTAGAAGGGATTTAAGAGACCTTAGCCAATTCCCTCATTTGACAGATGAGAAAAGGAAGGCTCAGAGAGGTTAGGTAATTTGCTCAAAGTCACACAGCAAGCTGGTGGCATGTGCTGCCCAGTGATCCAGACAAGTGCTCTTTACGCTATTGCACGTTGCCTCTTACTCTAGTATAGATGACAGCCCTGAAAAGAAGCCAGAATTTCAGCAAGGATGAATGTGAAAGAGTCTCACTCTAAAATCACCCAACCCTGTGAGTTCCAAAGGACAGAATAAAGAAGAATGGGAAGCTTTTAGAGATATATACACAGAAAGGGGGGAGAAGGGACAAAAGGGGGGAATTGAGATCACTCAGAAGAACATCAAAACACCAAAGCACCACACAAAATAATGAGAATAAAACTTGATTTTTATCCTTTTTGGGGGAGACAGAATGGAGCTCCTGTCAATCTTTGGGAGACCTGTGCAGCAGTTTTGATGGTTTCAGAATTCTTTGGAGCCTAATGCAGGGGGCTGCAAACCAAGGCCCATGGGCCAAATTTGGTCCACCACCTGTCTTTGTAAATAAAGTTGTATTGGAATGTAACCATGCTTATTTGTTTATTATTGTCTGTGACTGCTTTCCTACTATGAGATAGCAGAGCTAAGTCGTTGCAGAGAAACCATACGGCCTACAAGGCTTAAAATATTTACTGTTGGACCCCTTGTAGAAAACTTTTGCCAACCCCTGCCCTGGCGTTTTTATCAAATCTTTCTCAATACACGCTGACAATTTGGAAAATGATGACTGTATGTTGAATTTCTAGGTTTTTGGTTTTTTATTTTTGAGTCTGTGCTTGTGTCCCCTTTAATCCCTTCCAGTGCCACTTGTGAGCTCTAACAACCAAAGAAACGAAGAAACAACGACTAAGACAGAGGCCAAGAAAAAGACTTGGAACAGATGGAAGCTTCCCTGATATGTTGTCACACCCCAGATCAGCTCAGTTCACATTTCCCAAGGTCATGTAAATTCTTTTTTTTTTTTTTTTTTTTCGGTTCGCGGGCCTCTCACTGCTGTGGCCTCTCCTGTTGCGGAGCACAGGCTCCGGACGCACAGGCTCAGCAGCCATGGCTCACGGGCCCAGCCGCTCCGCAGCATGTGGGATCCTCCTGGACCAAGGCACGAACCCACGTCCCCTGCATCGGCAGGCGGACTCTCAACCACTGTGCCACCAGGGAAGCCCAGGTCATGTAACTTCTACTTTTAAACCTCAGGGAAGTAACTGCAAGTGCACCCATGTGTAAAGATGTAATTGTGTACGCATGTATGCTGCTGGTGTTTCTGTGCATCTGTGGATTTGAGCAACTCCATGCTCAAAAGCAAGGCTGATATTCAAAATATATAAAAACTAGCTCACCACAGAGACTGACTAATCAAGGCAAATGCCAACCTGTACGTCAGACCAGGGCACACTGACTGCACAAAGCCCAGTGCGTTTCCACTCCACCTGCTGTGGCTGAGATGGGACTTCAGAGTAGGGGAGCAGCTAAGCTGGTTCTTGATTTCCTTGGTCTTGTGATGTGTCACTGAGGGTGGGTCTGGGTCCAGAAGCTACTGGACTCAGATGGCTATAAACATTGTATTTGGAATAGACATATAGACTGAGCATAAGCAAGAGCAGGCAACTGCCTTTCAAGCCTTACATAAGGGTACACACTCCCCTTTAGTCTGGCTTAGAGGGATAGGATTCCAACCACTTTCAAAGGCTGGGTTGACTTCCATGCTGGGTGATTGGCAGTACACAATCGCTTCTACTAGTGAATGTCTACCTTGTGTCAAGCACATTAGGCTCTTTATATAGGTAACAGTATACTAAATGGGACTCTTCCCATCTCAAGATGTGGGCAGAGGCCTCAAAGGTGAGGAAAAGAATAATAGGGATCAGCTATTATCAGCTACCACATTCTAAATCAAGATGCTAGGCTAGGGACTTTGCTGGTGGTGCAGTGGTTAAGAATCCGCCTGCCAATGCAGGGGACACGGGTTCGAGCCCTGGTCTGGGAAGATCCCACATGCCGCGGAGCAGCTAAGCCCGTGCGCCACAACTACTGAGCCTGTGCACCACAACTACTGAAGCCCACGTGCCTAGAGCCTGTGCTCCGCAACAAGAGAAGCCACCGCAATGAGAAGCCCATGCACCACAGCAAAGAGTAGCCCCTGCTCGCCACAACTAGAGAAAGCCCGCACACAGCAACAAAAACCCAATGCAGCCAAAAATAAATAAATTAAAAAGATGCTAGATTATATCTCAGATTTGTAAAATGGATGGTCCATAGGGCTTTACTCCCCTCCAGACTGTATAACAGAGGGCTAAGAGCTGAGGCTGAAAGGCAGGTGGTATTGAAGGTCTGTCTGGAGTGAGTTGTACTTCCTTTCTCCCCCAGCCAAGGGGAAGGTTTAGGTGTCGATTCTGTCTTTCACCCACTTAAGAGGGGAATTGCAGAAAAGAACTCCAAGAGCTATTGGAGTATGAGGGACAGAGGGACTCAGGACTGAAAATAATCTAGCAGTGATTGTGGCTGGCTTGTGGGCCTGGATAGTGAGTCTAAAAAACTGTTTTGGGTGTGAGCCGTACCTCCAGAGCTTAGCAGAGCATGGATGTTTGTATGTTTTCCAAGGGCCAGATGTGGACTGCCCAAGAGGGCTGCCTGGAATGGAGAGGTGCCCCACGTAGGGAAAGACTACCAGAAGCCATGAGGCTGAGAGGGAATCACAAGTGGCCAGAGAGAGGAGGTACCGGTAAGTGGGGGATCCCCAGCAGCAGGGCATCTTCCAAAAACCCAGGAAAATGTCCTAGATGCCAACGTCCAAACCTGAGATTGAAAGAGATTTAGACTCATAGACATTAAATAATTTGCTCGGGATCAAGCAGCTAATAAATGGCAGGTGGTGGTTTTATACTGTGTTGACCTGGGTGAGCTGGAACTACATTTTCCAGAATCCTCTTCCCTGATGGTTTCTGATCACAGTTGGCCAAAAGATTAATTTGTGAATGATTTAGAAGAGATAAGTGCAGTGGTAGTAATTACTTTCTGAAGGTTGTCCTGGTTAGAAGTGCCACCAGGTTCCAGGCTGTACCCATTCTCCCTCGTTCTACAAGCTTTCTTAGCAACCCCCAGGCCTTCTGACCAAGAGCAACCCAGGCCAACCCCCAGATGCAGAGGCAACAGGCTTCCATGTAAACTTCTCCACCAACTCTCTAGGATCCTGCTCTAACAACTGGGCATGCCTGACTTCAGAAGGGTTGATGAGTGACTATTCTTTGATCCTTCAACTTCTCCATTCAGACTCTGATTTCCCCAGTTATTCCAAAACTGTATAAGCCTTGTTCCTAAAATAAATCCCTTGTTTCATAATATTCTTAGTGTCTCTCCTTCCCTGACTGAACCCTTTCTAATATCATTAGTATCAATATCAAATCAGTATCAGATACCATTATAGGTACTGGAAATTGTTCCAGAGGAACAGAACTTTAAGGATAGGACTCTTGAAATTGATCTGTTTAAAGGCATTAATGACCCTGTTGCTAATGGTAAAAGAGACACTGGTAGACCGTGGCCGGCAGTGGCAAGACAGATACATTAATTATCACCTGTAGACAACTGTATTCAAATACCTATAGGAGGCAAGGCTTTGGGTAACCAAGTATTTGCTGCCACCGAACAATTTAATGGAAATAAAGAGTATAACGGGGTTAGTTGGTTTCTTCTAAGTGCACCCAAGAACTTTGAAAGAAAATTATGAGCTCAGGTCTTCAAATTCCAGCTGAAGTAAGGAGTAAAGGAGTAGGATAGTTCTATGATTACCTGAAAAGAAACCCTATTTCCTATAGCTGCAGGGTTGAGATTTTTGAAACCCAAACTCAAAGTAGTCAGGTGGTAGTCTCTACTTTCATTTTAGTAGAATCATTGTTGTGTCCCCTGGTGGAGCCATTCTTCCCTTGGGGACTAACACCCTTAAACCAGCCATGCCCAAAGTTTTAGGAACAGGAAATAACATTTGGCTAGTGAATCATTAGAGTTAGGAATGAGAAGAGCCACTCCCACTTACCCCATGCTGGTTCACCAGCACACGCAATGAGGGCTATGATGGTGGGCAGTGTCAAGTGGAAACCTCTAGAATGGCCTACCAGAATGGTAAGCTCAAGGCAATTTCATTCCTGGAGGGATTGCAAAGATTAGTATCACCTTCAGAACTTGAAGGACGTAGTAGTGGTGATTCTTACCTCTTTCAACTTGCCTATTTGTTCTTTGCAGAAAACAGACAGATCTTGGACAATGACAGTGAGTTATCATAACCAGGCAGACTCCGTTTTCAGCTTCTGTTCCAGACATGTTTTCTTTACTGGAGAAGACATCCCTTGGCACCTGGTAGGCAGCTATTGATCTGGCAAATGTTTTTTCTTTATACCTGCCTAGGGGAACAAAACTTGCACCCTAAAATATCTCTTTGGCAGGTGGATTATTTCCAGCTAAAAACAATCTATGCCCAAAAAACTCAGGAAGAATCTTTGACCTTACCCCAACTGCCTGAACAATTTAGATAGAGGGCCTGTCATAGGAACAGAGCTATCACTGAGATGTCTGCAAAGAACATGGGCTAGGTATGGTGGAGGAAACTCTTAGAGATCAGAGTCCACTCTGTGTCCCATATTCTCTGCATAGTGCAGCAAACTTTTGTTTACCAAACATTTGCTTTTCCATCTCCTTCCTCCCCTTTGAAGTTCCAAACCATTATCCCCAACACCCTCTTTTGTCTTTAGCTGAAGATGGTATTTAAGGTGAGGGTTTCAGCCTTTTTGGTGAGTTACTCAGCTTTCCTGAGTCTCTCCCATGTATACATGTTATTAAACTTTTGTGTGATTTTCTCCTGTTAATCTGTGTCATGTCAATTTAATTCTTAGATGAGCCAGAAGAAGCCAGAAGGGTAGAGGAAAATTCCTTCCTCCCCAACACCTGTTAATAAAGATCACCCAAAGCAGTTTACTTTCAACTGGCAGGGCCAGCAATACACTTTTACTCTCCCTCCTCAAGGCTTTATCAACTACATGGATGCTATCATGCTAGATGGATCTGGTGAGTAGAAGGTTGCTAGTACTCTAGACACTGTGGCAAGACACACGCATGCCAGATGGTGAGAAATAAATCCCACAGAAATTTAGGAGCTTGCCACCCTGGTAAATTTTCTAGGGACCCAGTGATCTGAGGCTATGTCAAGATACCCCTTCTACAGTGAAAGACAAGTTGCTGTCTCTGGCTTCTCCTACCAGAAAAAAAGAGCTTAAATGCTTAGCAAGCCTCTTGAAATTTGAAAATATCCTAAACTTCATTTGGACATGCTGCTCTCATTTATCAGAAAAGTCAAATGTCTGCAAGTTTTGAGTAGGACTCAGAACAAGAGAAGGCTCTACAATAGGTATGGGCTGTAGTGCAAACTTATCTGCCCCACAGGCCATGTGAACTCTCACAGTGCCTGCACTGTATGGAGTTTTTGGCAGCCTCTGAAGATGAATCGCAGAGCAAACCCTTAGGATTTTGGATCAAACTATGCCGTTCTCCTCAGATAACTATTTTCCTTTTGACAGATAGCTTCCAATTTTTTTGGCCTCTACTACATACTGGATGTTTGACTGTGAATCACCAAGTTACCGGGTGACCTGAGCTGCCCATCATAAACAGGGTGTTATTTGGCTATAAAGGCATAAAGATGGGCATTCACAGGAGTATTCTGTTATCAGGTGGAAGTGGGCTTCATACGTGATTGGACTTGAGCAAGACCTAA